CTGCGCTAGCCGTCCCTCATTTAGCAGTGTAAGACTAGAGGGAGGGCACATTATAACGCCCCCACGGCTGAAAGGGCGAGCATGTTTGGTGGGATGCGGATTCGAACCCGCGACCCTCAGATTGTGAGTCGAGCGCCTTATCCACCTGGCCATGCCGGGCCCTAATGAAGTAGAGATGAGCTAAATGTATGACTTTTCCTCCAGTATATACTCGTATAGTTTAGTCTGTATAACAGAATGAAGTAAGTTAGAATATTATGAAGTAAAACTCATCCTAAAAATAATAAACCAATAACAGTTTGGACATAAAAGACTAGAAACTAGAAGACTTTATTGTTCCCATTTTGAAAACTAAGCACTTTCCGGGCTTAGGCCGCTGCAGTGTTCCCACGAGTGACTAGATGTTTTCTGAAGAAATTTGTTTTTGAATTTCGCGCAAAGCTATACGAGAGCTATCTGCACTAGCCGTCCCTAATTTAGCAGTGTAAGACTAGAGGGAAAGCAGCTAGTCATCACCACCCACCGCCAACTCTTGGGTTACTCTTTTTACCAACGAATAGTGGGATTGGCCGTCACATTATAATGCCCCCACGGCTGACAGGGCGAGCATGTTTGGTGTGACGGGGATTCGAACCCGCGACCCTACAGATTGCGAGTGGAGTGCCGTAACCACCTGGCCATGCCGGGACTTCTGAAGAAGCCAGACATGATAAAGTGGATAATGAGTCCGGACTGTAAATTCGAGGATTTTTTGTTCACGACTCGTTGCTGCAAACGCGTTCCTCGCTTAGGGACCATAGATATGTAATTAGAGTGACAGTCAAATCCTACTATTCTATATAAGATGATTAACCCAAGTGTTGACAGGGGGAAGTGTTGTTGCCTAGATTAGTTTTAGTTCAAAATAAGGAACGACTCATATAATACTGTTGTACGTTTACTCGAAATTCTGTGGCTTTGAGGTTGACCAGTATATAAACTATTTCGGTTATTTTATGCACATGGACCTAAAATTGAGTAAAATAGCCAATAAAGGTAAAAATTAACATATTTCTACATAAAATGGTTGCAAAATCTTAGAACTTACAGATAAATTATAAAAAAATTAAGTAAAAATAATTTAGAATTAAGTTTATGTAAAATTATATGATACACATACATATATACACACATATTTATATACACACATACATATATACACACATATTTATATACACACATACATATATACACACATATTTATATACACACATACATATATACATACATATTTATATACACACATATATACATACATATCTATATACACACATACATATATACATACATACATATCTATATACACACATACATATATACATACATACATATCTATATACACACATACATATATACATACATATATACATACATATATATCTATATACACACATACATATATACATACATACATATCTATATACACACATACATATATACATACATACATATCTATATACACACATACATATATACATACATACATATATACATACACATATAAATATATATCTATATACACACATACATATATACATACATATCTATATACATACATACATATCTATATACACACATACATATATACATACACATGTTAATAATTTTATCGTTAAAAATAACTTTCATATCACGTGATAATTCAGTTTTTCCACAGTATTCCAAGCAATTAATTAGCTTTTCAGATGAAACACGAAATAAGACTCTCAACATAAGTTGTACACACGAAATAGAACGTTTTTAATGGAAACCACTTCGTGACCGTCTCTAGTTTTACTTCCAGCCAAAGTGGTATTGGTACGCAACGTAATCGTTTCGTATCTAATCGATTTAATTGTGCAACTGAAAGAGAAAAGCTTATTGTGTGTTTTCCGACTTGTTTGGGGATCGTTCACAGTTTTCGCCATTTTCACGAGCGTACAAAACGAATACTGGCGGAGGGGAGGGGGAGAGGATCTCGTGCTCGCTTTTCAGAAAATTACAAAAGGACTTCGTTCGCTATCAATAAATAACCGACCACCAGCAACTTCAGACAGTTGTTTTTTTTTAACTTAAACAAGCCTTTTATGTTGCCCAATACCATATTAACAATGACTATTGCAATAATGAAAAAAACCATAAAACAACTTTTTAATGTTATGGGTGCAATTTAGTGAGTCACGGAATGTCGAGGAAAGAATGGCGAAAATTGTAAACAACCCATTATCTTTGAAACAGTTTCTTCCTGGTGAGCTGTTATTCTAAATACTCACTTTTGTGCTCAGCCGTTTTTTTTTTCTGATAAAATTCTACGAACATTATGTGTTGCTAAATTACTGGTATATATATAAAAAAAAACAACTTAAAGATGTAATAAAAACACAGTCCTGTTCCTAGATAATAAATTACTTAATCAAAAGTGTGATCTTTTAGGACTGTAGCTTTTGTACTTAACACCGAACACTGTCACTTTTAAAACGTCTCGAACATTAGATTCTTTGACGTCCATTCAACACATGTTCAAAATTCAGTTTACCTATCTAAAACACCTGGAAGAAAGATTTTCGGACAATCCAAACTTAAGATATATATATTAGAGTGGGTGATATTTAAAAATATGTTAAGCTGGTTTCACAGTATATAATATGGTACATAAGTTAAGCTGGTTTTACAGTATATAATATGGTACATAAGTTAAGCTGGTTTTACAGTATATAATATGGTACACATGTTAAGCTGGTTTTACAGTATATAATATGGTACACATGTTAAGCTGGTTTTACAGTATAAAATATGATACATAAGTTAAGCTGGTTTCACAGTATATAATATGGTACACATGTTAAGCTGGTTTTACAGAATATAATATGGTACACATGTTAAGCTGGTTTTACAGTATAAAATATGGTACATAAGTTAAGCTGGTTTTACAGTATATAATATGGTACATATGTTAAGCTGGTTTTACAGTATATAATAGGGTACACATGTTAAGCTGGTTTTACAGTATATAATATGGTACATATGTTAAGCTGGTTTTACAG